GAATTTTCATTGATGGGCACCCCTACAATAAATGAGATAGTTTCATAGTTTCTAGGGTCGGAAGGGACCTGGGCAGATCATCTAGTCCGACCCCCTGCCATGGCAGGAAAGAGTACTGGGGGCAAACGACCCCAGCAAGATGGTCATCTAACCTCCTCTTAAAAACCCCCAGGGTGGGGGCCTGCACCACCTCACTTGGAAGCTGGTTCCAGACCCTAGCCGCCCTGACCGTGAAGTAGCGCCTCCTGATGTCCAACTTAAACCTTCCCTCCGCCAGCTTGTGACCGTTATTCCTGGTCACTCCTGGCGGTGCCCGGGGGGACAGGGACTCCCCCAGTGCCTGTTGATCCCCCCTGACTAGTTTATAGCAGGCCACAAGATCCCCCCTCAGCCTTCTCTTCTGGAGGCTGAACAGGTTCAGGTCCCGTAACCTTTCCTCATAGGACCTGCCCTGCTGTCCCTTGATCATGCGAGTGGCCCTCCTCTGGACCCTCTCGATGCTGTCCACATCCCTCTTAAAGTGCGGCTCCCAGAACTGGATGCAGTACTCCAGCTGCGGCCTGACCAGTGCCGCATAGAGGGGGGGGATCACCTCCTTGGTCCTGCTTGAAATGCATCTGTGGATGCACGACAAGGTACAGTTGGCCTTCCTAGCCGCCTCCCCACACTGCCTAGCCATGTTCATCTTGGAGTCAATAATGACTCCAAGATCCTTTTCCACCTCCGTGGTGACAAGAGGGGATTTCCCCAGCCTATAGGTATGGTGCCGATTGTTCCTCCCCAGGTGCATCACCTTGCACTTGTCTGTGTTGAACCCCATCCTGTTCTCCTCTGCCCATCCTTGTAACATGTCAAGGTCCGACTGTAGCCTGTTGCTCCCTTCTATTGTGCCCACATCCCCCCACATCTTGGTGTCATCAGCAAATTTGAACAGGGTGCTTTGCACCCCCTCATCCAAATCACTGATGAAGATGTTGAACAGGGCGGGGCCGAGGACCGAGCCCTGCGGGACCCCACTGCCCACGTCCTTCCAGGCCGAGAAGGACCCATCCACTACCACGCTCCGGGTGCGGCACTCTAGCCAGTGGCGACCCATTGGACTGTGTGGGTGTCTACGCCATAGTCCCCCAGTTTCCTAATGAGAACGGGGTGAGAGACAGTGTCGAAAGCCTTCCGGAAGTCCAGGAAGACTATATCCACTGCTATCCCTGCATCCAATGATTTAGTGACCTGATCGTAGAAGGCCACCAGGTTGGTCTGACATGACCTACCGCTGATGAACCCGTGCTGGTTGCCCCTGAGCATGCATTTCCCTGCTGGCCCCTTGTTCAGAAGATATTGCAGTAAAAAAAGGTAGTAATTTTAGGATAGACTAAATATGACTGTATTGCCATAGAGAAGATCAGTGACTGTGTGTAGACCACCAGTGGACTATCACTGATTTTGCACTGTTTTTGACACGTCTTAAGTATTGCCAACTTGAAAGAATAAAGAATGTTGCTGAAGATAGCGAGCAATCAGGATCTGCTAGAAGCAAGGGCAAGGGGTGGGAGTTTTCCACTAACCTGCTCCTAGTACTGACAGAAAGGCTACTATAAGAAATTTACTGAGGAATGTGACTCAATTGTAAAGAATAAAATGCTTGCACAAGTAAAAAAATTACAGAAGCAGAAGAACATACATTACAGTATAGATGTTGTGCTTGCTGATTATTGAAGGCAAAGAGAAATCAAACTAACATTTTTAGCCAAATGGAATAAAGTCAACTAATTCAACTTCTAAAATGAGGCCCCCCTCTTCCCTAGACTCAATTTTTGTAGGCTAAATTAATAATCTCATTTTGGAATCAATATTAAATGTCCAAATATTTATTAACTTTTTTCCAATTTTTTTAAGCCACAATGAAGTGCTTAAACAAAACTGGCCAATTGATAAAAATAAGTTTTGACTATGGGGAACAGCCCTTGAACTACATACTTGTTATTTTAAAAAGTATTGAGACTGCAAAGTCAAATACTTGATAGTTAGGAAACGTCAAACACTCAGCTGCTGTACAACACTGATTTAGAAACCCAATATTAATGTATTGTAATATTGTCTTTAATTATATGATTAAACGTTTTCCTATAGAATTCCTGCCTGATGCAGTAACTGAAAGGAATATACTCACTGAGTGAATATTGAATTTAGTACTTCTTTTTATTCTCTTCAGTTCTCATTTACTGCTCATCAGCCAAACTCTGGGCTGAAGAATGCAAGTATTAATAAAACACAGGGGAAAATTATGTCACTTATCAAATATCAGAAAGCCACAGAAATATTAATGAATATATTTTCACAATCCCATGACAGAAGCAGGTATAACTGCTCTCAATTTGCAGCTAAAAATGAAGATAAGATATTAAGACTGAGATCATCCAAAGAATGCACTGACTTTGAAAGCCTAACTTAATCCATGAATAGCCTACTGCATTTTGTTATCACATGTACCTTTTCCCCAGGAAAAAAAAAAAGAGTCATCTCCCAAGACTGGGGTAGGGAAGCTGATTTTCTGCCTGGAATACAAACACCTCTACTGATTACTGTTCCACCCAGAAACAGTGGCATTTCTATTTAGACAGCAAAGGGAAAGGGGAGTCAATTGACTTAACAGCTCATAGTTCTTCTCTCCACAGGTGTTAACAATATTCTCCTCTTTTCACTGGTCTTGATGTTCCACTAAACTTTCTTTAAGCAATTTTGCTGTCTGCTAGCTGCTGTTTCTCCCATTTCATTTGGAGACTGGTGTTAGGTCTTTTCAAACTCATACATCTACCATGCAGACCAGTTTTTAGCAGCATGTAGGGTTTCAGCTTGTGGTTAAGCAGGAAAGGGAGGGTGCACAATCTGAAAGTTAGGCTCTGATCCTGCTCTATACAACTAGAGATTGGGGGGGGCGGGGAAGAGGGAAAAGAGACACTTGGGGGCCTTAAAGTGCACAAAGTAAACCATCAGCTGGTTCTGGCTACCCGTGAAAAAGTTAAGTGATTTTCCAGGGAGAAGTCAGGGTGGGTTTTAACTGCAATCACAAATTGTTCTCTCTTTTCCTTCAGTCCTCTGCCTCTTTCCCAGCATACATTTCAATTTCTGCTACATTAGATAGTGGGTATACAAAAGGCATTCCTTTAACAACTCCAATTCATTGCCTGTTAATTTGGTATCTTGTGCTCTTGTGGAAGCAGAGTGCTGTAGGAAAAAAGATAGTTCACTTCAACAAGTAACACACTATCATCCTTCTACATTTGGAGCATGCTGTGGGTTGGCCACCCCCAAAGTGGCATGGGTAGCTACTGTGTGGCATAGGAGCCTCTGACACTCAGTAAAAGGAAGTACTGGAACGGAGGCAGGGGGCTTAAAGCCTCCAGCTGCCTAGGGCAGAGGGTGAAGGATACTGCTGAAAAGGTGTCAAAGGTCACAGCCAAGAGCCAGATTAATCAGTCCTTAGCCCTGCAGCCACTGCCAAATTAGGGTTTAGGTCCTCAACTCATCATATAAAGTGGGGAGGGCAGGTTGAGAACCAGGGAAGAATCAGTTCAGCTCTTGGTAGTAACACTTCCTCTCAGCAGCATCCAGCCCCTGCTTCACACAGCTGGAAGCTTGAGCCCTCCTGCATCCATTCTGGCATCACAGCGAAAGCTGTATCAGGTACATTTCTGGGAGGCAGAGATCAGAACAGCACTTAACTTGGAAGAGATTAGCTTGTGGCACATGTGCAAAAAAGTTTGGGCATCACTGCTCTATACAAGAACTAGCTACCAGAGCAGGAGAAATATTTTGCCAGTGGTTTTCAGAGCTATTCAACGTAAGATGAATTGTGTAACTGAAGCATTCTTGGTTCAAGAAAGGATTTGGTTACAGTGGCTGTAAACAGAGCCTTTCATGTCTAATCTCACTATTTTTTCCTCTCCAACAGTTATTGTCTGTAGTATTCCCCCTCCCCCACCCTCAAACTCACCAGAGCCCTTTTTTTTAAATGCATCTGAACAGATACCCATCACCCTTGGCTTACATTTGTTCTTCTACTCTTCAGTTGTATACATCTGCCAGGGCAAAGGCAGGCAAGAATTGACAACATTAAAAAAAAAAAAAAAAAAGCAGCATTTCCTAGTGTGCCTGAGACTACAGCAGTCCCCAGAAACCATGACAAGCAATTTCTTAGCCCCTATTTATCCATCCATGGCTGAGCAGTGTTCACCATAGACGGAATCTGGGAATTCTGTTGCCTAATGCTCATTGACCAAGTATAGAAATCTCTTCTAGTTCAGACTGAACTGTTCCATGATTAAAGCCTACAAAAACAATTAGGGGAAAGTAGCACTGATCATGCATCAGAAAGACTACAGCATTTGGAATTAATCAGAAGTCTAAACGGCTGCAAACTGCTTTAGCATAAGCAGCCATGTTGAGAAAAGCTGGTCTATTTACAAACTGTTGGGCAGTTTTAAGGTAGGAAGGTGGGCAAAAGCAAGTTTCTCAAAAGATGGATGAGAAAGCATGCACAAAACTCAATGAGGAAGAAAATACCAGAAGTGGCAGAAATGATGCAAGGAAACAAAGCATAAATTAAATAAAGGAATGTTTAATCAAGACAATTCTCATTTTATTTTTAATCTAAAGTTCTTCCCCTTGGGGAATTTAAAATTTTTATTGGAAAAGTAAAACCTACTCTTACAATGAGACCATTTCTTTCAAGCAGCTCTGAAGTACAACTGTTACCAGGACACTACGCCATTAACAATTTTAAAAGAAATTGTTTCATACAGATAGTTTTGAACTAAAAGTTTTAAAATGACATTGTCTAGGTTTTATATGTGCTCCACATACTGCAAGCAACTAACAATATGGTGAGATTCAATTCCTCAACTAGAAGACCAAATATTACATGTATACACAATACCTGCACAGTGACAGCACAAGACAGACTAGTTGAGCACTTAAATAATTTCAAAAATCCAAACCAACACTTTTAAAATCCACTTTATTTCCATTCCCCCCACCCACCCAATACAGAACTTAAGGCATTTCCACATACATACACACAATTCTTGCAAAGTTTTGTGGTTTTCTTTTCTTTATCTTGGTCAGATACCATTTATTCTTATTACTTATCCCTAAACGTGTGTCAGCATTCATATATGACAGTTAAACCAGTGTTAAATCAGTACAATATTTACATAGCATAGCACATAAGCTTGAGACACTCACTTGGGGATAAAACCATATTTTAAAATAGGAGAAAGACCACCGTTATTACATGTTTGGAATTAGCTATTTACAGGTTCCTAATATGGCATAAGTATGGTCTGTACACTGGTTCAATGAGGCAAACAGAAGCCTGGACTACAGTTATTTTACGTGGGATTTTAAATGCAGTTTGGAAGCACATTATTATGCTACCCTGAATGCCACATGCCACCCCAAAATTCTTCAAGGTGATCTTAAATCCTAAAATGGCAGGTCCTGCTGATAGAAAAAACAAAACCAAAAACACACCCAACCAACCAACCAACAAAAAACAAAAAAAAACAAACAAACTAAAAAACCCAGACAGACAACATAATATTTACTTTATGGTGATTTTCTGACTGCTATTCAGACATCTGAACTTTGAAGGAAATTCGTCCCAGAAACTTGTCACGGTCATCTTCATTTTTTAAATTGGGTGAGCCCAGGATCTTACACTCAATTGTTATTTCTTCTTTGGTACTGTTGGAGTTAATTGCTAGCTGAACAGCCACTAGTGGCTGTAGATAATGAGCCTGGTAAACAGAGAGATGGGGAAAAACAGGTTTTAGATGCTAAGCTCATCGCCAAACATAACAATTAAGATTACAATACCATTCCACCAACTAAAGTATTGGACCAAACAAGAGGGACCAAATTCTACAAAACTTATGCCAAGTAATTCAGTTACGATTTGTATAAGAATGAGATAATTTGGTTTAAGTTCTTCCGGCTAATGATCAACTGACTAATTCTGCATAAAAAGTAACAGAGAAGATTTTGAAGGGGCAAATGGGAATTAGGTACCTGTTTCTACAGAATGAATAGGATAAGCTTTTCTGTCTTCTATGTCTTTGAAAATCTAAGCCTCTGTGTAAACTCAAAAAAAATTATATTTGCTTCACTTGCATCTAAAGTCTATTTTTCTTAAAGAGATAGATACTTCTTTAAAAAGTAGCTTCTTAAAACTTGAATGTAGCAACAGTTTCCCCTTTGTCCTTCAGCTTTTCTTTATGTACATCCATTAGTCTTATTAATTTTTCAATGGTATGCTTGAAGGCCTATGGTGGAGCTAACATTTACATTTTTTAGACTTTGACTTCAGGAACTTATTAACTAGCAATCATTCTTTCCAAAGAATCAGTAAGCTAGTTTTTGGTAGAATCCTCCCAAAGGTGCTGACTTTACATTGGTCCCTTCTGACTTTACATTGGTTATTCTTTAGAGAAGCTATAATTTAATCAATTCCTACTGTCAAAGTTAAAATACGGGAAGAAATATTGCAATATTATTTTTTAGTTGGATTATTTTTAGTTGCACTAAAATCATACTGCAAATCAAATTGCAAATCTGGAACTATTAAGTAGCATATATACAACTTTCAGAGAATAGTTTTAAGATTTGTTATAGATTTGCCTAGCAAAAAACTGATTTTAATAGCTTTAGGGTCAGTTTAATAAACCCATATTTTACACACATGCTGTTATCAGTGCTTATATAGATCCACGTTGGTTATTTCAGAAGTTACTAGTAGCCGAGTGCATCCATTTTTGGGTGAACAACTTAAGACACTTTCAAAAAGGTGGGTAGTTAGGAGGTACAGAAATACATTTTTAGAAGTCTGCAAAGCAATTAATCCCTTAAAAGGTGGTGGCCTGAGGAAGACTACCAACTCAATTACCGCAACAAATTCTGCAGCTAAATCTAGCAAACAGTGGGAAAGTCTTGTGTATGCGTGTTTCTCAAGATTAGATCAAATTACTGCACAGTAAGCATCACTATCTACACATGTAGATGCTCAATGCACAGCAATTTGCTCTAATAAATTCAGTAAATGTGCTAGCTGTAAATACAAATAGAAAGTTTACTCAGGAGAAATTACTGCGCAGTACAGCACGCATAGAAGGCCAAAAGGGAGCATATTTGCTCCCGGTCCACCGGGCAGCTGGGGGCAGGAGAGTGTTCCCTGCCCCTGGGAGCTGCCTGCTGCCAGGGTGGGCTCCACCACAGAAACCCAGATGGGGACAATGTCCCCTGACCCCAGCAGCATGGAGCTCGCAGCCCCTGTTCTGCAATCAAGGAGTGGAGACTGGGAGAGATGGTTACCTCCCCACTATAGAAAGGGTGCAGACAAGTTGGAGAGAGTCTAGCAGAGGGCAATGAAAATGGTTCAGAGGCTGGGGCATATGACTTATGCGGAGAGGCAGAGAGAACTAGGTTTATTTAGTTGGCAGAAGAGAAGACAGACAGAGGATTTGATAGCAGCCCTTAACTACCTGAATGGGGGTTTCAAAAAGGATGGAACTAGACTGTTCTCAGTGGTGACAGATGACAGAAAAGAGAGCAATGGTCTCAAGTGGCAGCAGGGGAGGTTTAGGTTGGATATTAGGAAAAACCTCTCACTATGAGGGTGAGGAAGCACTGGAACAGGTTACCTAGTGAGGCAGTGGAATCTCCATCTTTTTGAGGTTTATAAGGCAGAGCTAGACAAAGCCCCAGTGGAAAACCCCGTGCCTTTTGAGGTCCTTTCCAACTCTAATTTTCTATTCTAAACACTCTCCCAGCCCCTGCTCCATGAGCACAGAGTGGGGGCTGGGAGCTCCCTGCACAAGAAGAGTTCCCCATCTAGCCTGGAGCTGGCTGGGACCTGCTGCCCATGACCAGGACAGTTCCAGCTAGCCCTGGGCTGCCCAGGTAAGTCTGCACATGCAGCCTGGAGGTGGCTGGGGACTGTCCCATTTTGGGCAGTCCCTAGCCAGCTCCAGGCTGCACATGCAGACTTACCTGGGCAGCCCAGGGACTGTCCCTGTCAGGAGCAGGTCCCAGCCCCATGCCCCAATCAGGCAATCAAGGCACACAGCTTGGAAAGAGCTGCAGGGGAGCTGCCCCACCAGCAGATCAGAGCAGTAAATCTAATACATATGACAACAAGTAAACTAGTACCACACAGAAAGTTGTAGTTAGATTGGAAAAAAATATGACTATTAGAAATGTAAGGTGGGCAAGAAACCAATGCAAGGCACAAAAAACAGGTTGTGCTTATTGGGCAGAGGCAGGATACTAGTGGTGTTTTAATTCAGTTGGTACAAAAAAAGAACACGTTAATTAACTTGATGGTACAAAGCTGGGAAATTTAATCAGCAGATGTGAGGATTGATGCATCTTACAGAAAAGAACTGACTGACCTTAAAGACTAGAATAAGAACAGGATGAAATTCAGTAGTATGAAATGCAAAGCCATATATTTAGAACCACCATTGATTTTTACTGTAAAGTGGGAGCTCAAAAGTTGGAAATAATAAAGGAGAAGGACCTGGGTGTACCAGTTGATTACATAATGACATGAACCACCACACTGACAAATTTGCTATTTTCATAGCTACAATCTTAGGATGCATTTGTCAAAGCATTTCAAGCAGAGATGGGGAAATACTAATAATGCCACCAGAAGTAGTATTGGAAGGGCCTTAGATGAAATACCACATCCACTTCTGCTTCTCCACTGTTCAAGATACATGAACTCAGGCAGAAGTAAGGGCACAGAAGGGCTAGTAGGGTGATCAGGTGAATGGACATTATAGGAGAACTTGGCTTATTAAGGCTAGCAAAATATTGTACTCCGTAAGTACAGCTTCTTAAAAGTACAAACCAACCAAAAATAATTTTAGGTTGGTAATCAGGTTTCTAACCACAGGGGATTCTGGAACGGCCCACCAACATCAGTACAGAAAACATCCTAACTAGTTTTAAACTGGAGGTTGGTGAGTTTATGGAAGGAATTGAGACAGATTTCTAAAGGGAAAACCCTATGGCCCTACAGCTTTTAACTAAAATGTTGTAATCATTCAAAAAGTGGGTTCCTTTTAAATAAGCCTGTTCACTGAGTCTACACAGCAGCATTTCCAAAACTGTAACTATGTTTGTCTGTGTACATTTAGTATGAAACAGCATATCAGCAAATTATGCAAAAATATCTACGCAGCTCTCACAGTGCTTCAAGGGACAGAATAAATAGAAAATGTATGTGCTGAACCAATCTAAGTTAAAACAATGTACAAGCTGAGATGTAAACCAAAGACTTAAGTTTAACACAGTTATTAACTATACTGTAAATGGGCACAATGGCAGTAACTAGTTACTAATTATTAAAAAAGGTAAGCTGGCCTATGTGGAATACCTGCTTTTATGTCCAAAGGATGCCTAGTAAAAACAGCAAGTACACTGTACATTGAGTACAGTGAGTACACTGAAATTACATTAGAAAAAAAACACGGCTTATCATCTTAAGGTAATAAAGCTCAAGTTATTCACCTGTGCCTGGAAAAATTGAACCCAAGGTCTTACCAAGTTGCATAAAATATCTGCATATGGAATATTATACATGTATACTTCACTGTAAATTCCAAACCTGAACACTATAAAACGAACCAATCTAAAAATGTGGTAACAATACACAAAATAGAAGGATCAGTTACTTACATGCAGCTTTTTTCCATAGTATGGGAAATACATTAAGTCAATTGTACCCCCAGCAGGAAAATAAGTTATCTGAACCTTGCCTTCTTCCTATGGTTGAAGAGAACATTAGAATCAACAGATATGTTTTATTAATAATTTTTTTAGATTTGTTTTAATTATCTAATGATTAGGTGCAAAACCAATATTTGATGACTGTAGTACTACAATAGCTGGTAAAAGGCAGGCAGGAGAGAGTGGGGCCACTGCTGGCAGGGGTTGTCAATGCTTCACTTCAGGAGGACAGCATGCCAAATATTCTTAAGTCTGTGACTGTCCAGCCCTTATTCTTCAAGAGGCTGTCTACTGTGCTGACACCCCAGCCAGCTTTCTTTTTGTCTTATCTGACCAAGGCTCTGCAGTCTCAGTCCTTACCTGGTGCCTGGCTGCAATTGGGATTCCATTAGAATGAACTAATTGAAGCTGAATCCAGACAAGACAGTGAGGCCGGTGGTGGACACACCTCATAACTGTGGGGGAGAGGGAAGGACAGGGGGAGACTGGGACCATCTGTGATGGAACTTGCCTCTCCTTGTCTCTCAGGTTTGCAGCCTTGGTGTGCTCCTGGATCCTTCACTGCACCTGGATCTTCAAGCAGCAGCAGTGGCTAGAAGCACCTTTAACCAAGTCTATCTAGCAAGAAGGCTACAACCCCTTCTTTCAGATTCTCATATGGCCACCATCATACATGTTTTTGTAGCCTCAAGGGTAGGCTACTGCAACGTGTTCTACATATGGACCATCTGGTAGTTGCAACTGGTGCAAAATGCAGTGTCCCATCTTCTCATGGGGATAAGCTGACACCTGCATAAATCACCCAATGCTCCAGAGTCTGCAGTAACTTCAAACAGTATTCTGGGTGCAATTCAAGGTGCTGGTCTTGACTTAAGAGGCCCTATGTACATATTTAAAGGACTACCTTTTCCTTTAGGCTCCATCTCGACCCCTACAGTCAGCTGAGAGCAACTTCCTGCAAGTACTATCAGCACACCAATTTCCCATGTGTTTTTTGACAAGTGAATCATCCTTAGCAGTTTGAGGCAGACCCAGAATTTCCAAAAGGGGTAGTAGTGTGCCACACCACTCCTCAGACCATGAGATGGATAAGAGTGAGGAGTAGCTAATCCCCTGGGCTAGCAGGGGACAGAGAGGAGCCAGACAGGGATCAGCCACTTGAAG